GACTATAACACATGATAAAGTGAAGAATTTCATATAAGTAGCATAAAGGATGGCATCACAGAAACATATGATGAAAAAGGAAGATGGATCAGTCACAAAGTGAGAGCAAAGCATAATCAAGGAAAAACCCCAGCCTCTATTGGTATCCTCATGATGTCAAGAAAATAAAGGAAGGCTCTTAGCACTTTGTGTGAATGGACCTCTTGTGATGAACTTTTGGGAAGACTTGGACAAGTTTCATAGAATGGGAATGTAAGGAAGGTGGCAATCTGCTTCACTAGAGGGAATGAATTCACAGGTCCACTGGCATGTGATCCATGTGCAACTTTATATATAACAGATGCTTGTTGAATAGTTTGATTAATGTAACAGATTGAAAATGATTTGAAAGCTAAAAATGCCATATATAAGTAAGTCATTAATCTGTCATGTATCAGAAACTTCTAAAAACCCAACACACTTGTGACTATAATTTGCTTCCAAGTTTTCATGACAAAGGACATGTATTTGCCCTGTCGAAAATCATAACTTGAGTCCCAGGAACAGCAGCATTCCATGGGCATTACTTAGAGCCTGGCCCCTTCGGCTATCTTTCAAGGGGATCAACCCTTGTGGAGACTTGACCTTGGAGCTCCCCCTCCAGGTGTTAGAGGGCTTGTCTTTTTAACTGTCTCAACAATTAAAGATACAGAAAATTTTTGCCTTCAAAGTTCTTGGCACTAACAAATGGTTCAACATCAGAAATAGGGTTTGATCAAAAGAAATGACACTAACGATGCATTACCAGCTATCTTGCCACTATACCCTAAGGATCACTGATCCTTTTCATTGGTCCTGTGTACACTGTCCCGTATTCTGTTCGCCTAGGTACTGCCTTGCTTTTCTATTTGTATCTGAAGCACTTAGCACAGTGCCTTGCAAATAGTAAGGACTTAATAAAGGCTTTTTCATCCATCCATCCATTCACTCATAATCTGGAAATTCATCTCCTATTAAGCTTAAAAGAAAAAATAAGATTTCATAGAATTTAACGTATTATTTTCAGTTACAAAAATTTTCTCCTTAGTTACTTGAAGATGGAGTTACTTTATTATGTGTTGTTCTTATTAGTACCTATATTGCATTAGTCTTCAGCTATTGTACTGGGTTAATCTAATGGAAAGCATGGAACAACTATTTGCTTAAAATAGCCTTTTCCATCATAGGGACTCCAATTTAGAAATACTTCTGCACTTTTAATTCAATTTATATATTTTGACTTAATATATGGATCAGGTGTATAATTTAATAACTGTAGAGAAATTTGGCATCAATTTATAGAGTATCTTATTATTTTTGGTCCATAAGTATACTAGAACCAAGAAATGTGTTATGTAGGAAAATCATGTAATGGGGAGGAGACTCAAAGTCAAGAGTTCAATAAATGTCTTTTACATAATCACAAGATACATGTGGAAAAGACACTTTAAAAGTAAGTTTACAAAGTGTTTTTTAAAAGCTAATTTTATTACAAGAACAGTACTTATCGCTCCTTTTTTCTTACAATTTCCCCAATTGATTTAAACATGTCATGAAGAATATATTGATTTCTTCTGTCTCCCTCACTTTTTGCATTTGATGGTTATGTCCTTCACACAGCATCCCCAGTATTCCTCCTTCCTGGGTCAATTTTTGCTTATCATTTTGATGATGATGACATTGAGGATGGAAATGTGGGGGGAGTAAGAGACCCTAATCTTGCCAACTTTGATTTAAATGAATGTGTCTCAATGTTTACTCCCAGATATTTTATATATTCTGTAGTTAATCTGAATGAAAATTATCGTTTCCTAATAGTTTTTGTTAGCCCTCTAAGTTTCTCAGAGAGTGCAGATTCGGCATGAAGAGACTGCTCATCACATCTACAACGTATATCTACTTTGAAGGAAAAGGGTGCTGGGTAAGTGGGAAGTCTGATGGGCTTTTTGAGTGTTTTCTTTTTCTGCATTTGTTCCTGGGCTCCTGTGAATCCTTTGCATCTTATACATATTTGGTGGTAAGTGAAATAAAGGCTGACTCATATTATATCCGTGGGTCTGTCTTTTGGGAAAATAAGAAATGAGTAACATATAAGCTTTATTTTGGAGATTTCCTCAGAGTAAAACTCTAAGGAGGGTACCTGAATAAAAGAGAAAAAAATTACCTTTTGGAGGCAAGCCTCCAGGATTCAATCTGATCCTTGTGAATCCATTGTCTTAGGAGACACTGAGTCACGGGTTACACAAACAATCCTGACAAAGTATTACTTTAGTCATGTCACATCAACAAGCATTTTTTTATTTTTTAAAAACTTACTTATTTTTAGCTTTCAACATTCACTTCCATAAGATTTTGAGTTTTAAATTTTTCCCCCTCCCATTTCATCCCCCCGCCCCAGATGGTGTACCGTCTGATATAGGTTTGGTCAATAAGCATTTATTAGTGCTTACTATGTGCCAGGCATTATATTAAGTTCTGGAGATACAAAAAAAGGCCAGCAAGAATCCTCCCTCTTCAAGAGCTCACTATTCAATGATAAAGATAACATGGAAACAACCATGTACAAACAAGATATACACAGAAAATATTGGAGATAATCAGTAGAGAGAAGGGACTAGCATCAAGGATAAGGAATGGCTTCTTGTAGAAGGTGGGATTTTAGCTGGCATTTGAAGAAGGCCAGGAGGTAAAGATGAGGGAGAAAATTCCAAGCAAGGAGGAAAGCCAGTGAACATGGCCTGAGACAAAGGATGGTGTCTTTTGAGTCAATTAGGGATGTGTAAAAGGATTGCCTTGTTGCAGTGAGGGCCCATTTGAGATTAAGTGACAAATTTCTAGTGTATTCAGTCAGCATAATTTCACAATTTTCTCCAGCTTCATTCAGCATTACATGAATAGGAGTGAATGTTGGAAGTTAGCCTCAGTTGAGCTTTGGCAGGGAAAGACTGGTGATAGGATAATGGAGGAAGGGATTTGAAAGAAGAGGGCAAGCATAGAGTTGAACTGGTTCACCAGGAGATTAAGATGGGGAAGGGAGGAGAGTATAGCTAGTACATGAATGATGGCCTAGGAGAGAAGTGAGGGTTTGAGAATGGTGAAACCAGTCGGTAGCTTTAGAGTAGGAGACTGGGGGGTAAGGTGGAGCGGAGATTAAACTGAGGGAGATGTAAAATTACTGGAGCCTGCATAAATAGGAGTAATTATCCTTACAAACTTTCTTTTTGAACCATTCTCGTGGACTAGATGTCAGGGGAACTGGGTTCTAATCCTGGTTCTTCTATAGCCTAGCTGTATGATTTTAGGAAAGTTCTTTAACTTCCTGAATCTATTTACTGTTTTTCATAAAATAGGGATGTTAAAACTTATCCTGTTTTATAGGGATGTTTGAGAGGATAAATGGAAATAAGTACTGTGAAAATGTTTTGCAGAGTACAAAGGAAGGTGAAGGTAAAATGTTATTTAGTTGGTAATGCGAGTGCTAGAGGCCATTAGAATATTCATTAATTGGGATTCTGCTTATAATTTTACCATTCATTCAACAAATGTTTTTAGAGTATGTACCACGAGTATTACTAGGTACTGGGGGAGATACAGGGACAAATTCTTTTATTAAAGATCTAATAATTTAGTAAGAGAAATAATTTATTATAGTTTACCTCTTTGAGGTATGTGCCTAAAAATATAATTTTTGTTAGTTTTTTCAATATCCTCTAACTTGTTGAAAGTTATTATTCTATGAATATTTAAATGAGGTTGTTGTTGTTTAGTCATTTTAAGTTGGAGCCAACTCTTCCTGACTCCTTTCTGGCATATTCTTGGCAAAGATACTGGAATGGTCTGCCATTTCCTTCTCCACCTCATTTTATAAATGAGGAAAGTGAGGTAAAATAGGGTTAAATGACTTGCCCAGGGTCACATAGCTAATAAGTGTCTGAAGCCAGATTTGAACACAGGTCTTCCTGATTCCAGATCCAGGACTTTATCCATTGTGCCACCTGGCTCCCCTTAAATGAAATTAGGTGGAGCCTGAGAGCCCTAAGATCCCTCTATACTATGCAAAATTCACAAGTAATTATGAAATTTAAGAACATTAGTTCTTCTTGTCAGGTAATAATGATTGTAATGAACTATAGGGACTTTAATGAAAACAAATAACTAAACACAGCTGGTGAAAGAAATGTAAATATGACTCCAATGAATTTATTAGAAATTTATGGACAGGAGCTCATTTTTAACACTATATTATCTAGAGCAATATCATTAGCCAAATGAAAAGAAATACAACAATTTCTGTATTACAACTGCTTATATTACTGAAATTGCCTTCTAACATATTTCTCAAATAATGAACTTGTGTTCAGTGGGAGCTTGAGGTAAATCTGGTATGTTAAAGCACTGTGTGAAACCATTTTTATCTTTAAGATAATAATAAATACTACTACTAAGAGAACATGTTAGACATCAAAACTATAAAATGGTAGATTCATAGTAACTGGCTTTTGAAAAAAATGACATGATTTTGTATGCTATGGCTTCATCTTTTTATGATGGGTGATTCTCTTGTTAATTATTAGTTTTATCACATGGTAGCCATAAGAATGAAGGATTGAGAGAGTATTCTCTTTTAAAAAACACATTTCCAGGGGCAGCTAGGTGGCGCAGTGGATAGAGCACTGGCCCTGAAGTCAGGAGGACCTGAGTTCAAATTTGACCTTAGACCAAATACTTGACACTTACTAGCTGTGTGACCCTGGGCAAGTCACTTAACCCCAACTGCCTAATAAAAAAAAAAAGAAAAAACACATTTTCATTTATGCATTTTCAATTTTATTTTATTTTCAGTTTTGAATTCTCTTCCTTTTCCCCTACCCATTGAGAAGGCAAGAAAAACAATACTTGTTACAAGGTATGTATAGTCATACAAAACAAATTCTTGCATTAGCCATGTAAAAAAAAAAAAAGGAAAAAGAAAAAGAAGAAAATATGCTCCAATTTGTACTGAGTCCATCAGTTCTCCATCTGCAGGTGAACAGTGGATATATTTCATTATCATTTCTAATATTAAAATAGCTATTCATAATCATAGCTCATATTTATATAGCACTTTATAGTTTACAAAGTGCTTTCCCATGGTATTCTCTCAGAAGTGACAGGAATAGTATAAATATTCTTATCCTATTTCTAAAGACAAGAAAAATCTGGAGAAGTTAAGGGATTTTGCCATTATCACTAAGCTAGGTATTCTAATTCTAAGTTCAGTGGGATTGTGTCACCCAAAATATCTGATCTCAAAATGTGAACAAAGTAGTTTAAGGAAACAGCAATCAAATTCCTCTACAATCCTTAAAGCGTCTAGGTTTTTCAGAAAACAAAGTAAAGCACTATTATTTTTTAGTCAAAGGAGTACCACGTTCTCTCTAAAAATAAGCTGGGGTCAGCTTGTATTTTTGGTTATTGGTACTAGAAAAGCAAACGGCTGTCAGTCTAGTGAATTTAGATTCTTTCCATTTCAGGAACTAATGGAAGTATCAGTCTGTGTTATTTGTTGTGGGTAATTTATCTGCTGATTTTTCAAAAATTCTGTTTGATTGGTAGATGTAAAGGCTCCTCTCCCTGGTAGGAAGGATAAAATTTACTTTAGCTGTCCCAGAAATGCCTGGACTCTTTTGTTCCTTCCCAGGAGCTGTGAGGTTGCCTCTTTGACGTCTGTTTCTGATAAGTGACATTCAGAAATTGATGACCTTTTGGATTGGCCGGAACTGGATGAGGTCACTGTAGTTGTCATTGAGTTTCCTCTCTCTGTTTTTGACTGTTCTGGTAAGCATAACCCTGGAGCACTTTGGAATACTTCTGTTCCCTTAGGAACTCCTGGTCCTCTGACTGGTTTTATACCTGTCTGCTGAAAAGCTCCATGATGCTGGAAAGGGAAACAAGGTCGATGTTAACCAGGGGCACACAGGCAGTTAGCAGATGTAGCGGTGAGGTGAGTTCACTTATTAGCTCAAGGATTGGCAGTGTATCCATTTGTTTCTCTGCCTCTTTGCTGGCTATCAGCCTGGGCTCTAATACCAAAAGGCAAAGGAATAATGACTGATCTGTCAGCATTTTTTATTGATGAAATGAGGGCATGACAGAAAAGCAGAGGAAAAAAGACAAGTCACGGAAAATGCATCTTGTTTTCTAGGTTCATAACTGCGCTGTCTGTAGGATTGTATAACTTGCATAGATTTTCCCTATATACAGCGCAAGTTATACCAGATTTAATTTCTAGTTGCATGGGTTGATATAGATACGATTTTTCAACTACTGTTTTTTATGAGGCAAAAGATTATGACAGCATCCCAAATGACTATTAGTTTGACACAAAAAGCTATTATAATGAAATGTAAAAATGAACATCTATACATGGGAAAAAGTGTGGTAAATGAATATTTAATGAAAAGGAACTTTATGCCAATATATATGAACCACATTGAAGTATGTAAAACCTTACCTTATAAGAATGATTTAAATGAACAATGAGGAAAAGGCAATTTATAAAAAATGACAAATTCCATGACAGGATATTATAATATAATACATCGCTAGAGAATTATAAATTACTAGTTAAAATTTAAAAGAAGAGTGTTTCAACTTTCAAACTAAATATCATTGCTAAAAACATAACTATTTTTAATATCATATTTTAAGAGTATATTGTAACTTCAATAAGTAAAACATTCTACAATAGATTTACCAAATCTAAACATTCCTAACTAATTATTTCCAAATTCTGTCTTACCTTTGGTGGCAAACTTTTTCTGAACAGATGTATAAAAGGAAAACGATGTGAAAATTTGTTTTCAATTACTGGTAATGTGTCAGAAATTGCTAATGGAACTAAGAAAAAAGCATTTTCATGAAATTAGATGGGCATTAACAATTGTAAAAGGAGATATGACACCATACATGCTTTCATTAAAAATATTAATAAAATTAAGCTGGGTCTATATGTAAATCATGTTACATAAATCTAATGCATACATTTTTGAGAGGTAGTAAATTCTTTATCACTTGTATATGAAAAAAAAAACCAACTGGAATTTTCAAATAAGCAATGTAAAATTACTAAATATTCTTATAGCTAACATTAACTCAATGATGACTTAAATGATTTATTCAGAAACACAGACATTTCCGGGTCATTTCCAAACCACATCACCTACACTCCATCCATCCTCCTCATCCTCTTTCCACTGGAACGCTAACTCCACCACCTAGGACCCTGGGCTGTGAAAGGTGAGCTTTTGCTTTATTTCACCCAATCCCAGGGAACCATTTCACTTCCTGGACATTTTCAAACCATGCCACATATGCTACCCCCTTGCAGATATAAGCTCCTTGACGTCAGGGACCATCTTGCTTGCTTGTATTTGTATCCCTAGCACCTCAGCACAGGATCACATATAGACTTCTCTCCGGCATTTAATCTCTTCACAACCTAGCCCCAACCTGCCTTAGGACAGTGCCTCACACATAGTAAGCACATAAAAATTTTCTTTTCACTTATTCATTTATATGTAAATGTTAGAAGAAAATATGCACATTCACCCCAGTCTGGTACCAGGAAAAGAGCATTGGCTTCATAATCAAAGGACTTACTCTTGAATCCTGTTACTTTCCGCGTAACTTTGGGTAAGCCACAATTTCGTAGAGCATTATTTTTCTTATCTATAATATGGAAAAGTTGGATAAGATGGCTTCTGAGGTCACTCAGCTTTAGCTCTATGATCCTAATCTCTCTCTTAACTAAATTCCTAAAAGAAATTGCTTCACTTTTATTTAAACCTTCCACAATCCGACTTCAGGCATTAATCACGCAACTGAAACTGCCTTTTCCAAAATCAGTAATGATCTCTTAATTACCAAATACCCTAACGGGACTTTTTCAATCCTTATTCATCTTGACCCTCTGCAGCATTTTATACTATTAACTACCTTTCTGCTAGATACTCTCATGACACTGATCATTCTTTTTTTTAAATAAATTTAATAATTTATTTTTCTCCAATTAAATGTTAAAAACAATTTTAACTTTTTTTCAAGTTTTGAGTTCCAAATTCTTTTGCCTCCCCCTTCCTCCCCCCCAACCTCACTGAAAAGACAAGCAATTTGACACAGGTTATACATATGCAGTCATGAAAACATATTTCCATGTAAGTGATACTGCGAAAAAATACAGAACAAAAAAAATTAACAACAAGAAAAATGAAGTCAAGAAAAAACATACTTTAATCTGCATTCAGACTCCATCAATTCCTTCTCTGGAGATGGATAATATTTTTCATCATAAGTCCTTCCAAATTGTCTTGGCTGTATTGTAATGCTAAGAATAGCTAAGTTATTCACAGTTGATCACCATAGAACATTGCTCTTACTGTATACAATGTTCTCCTGGTTCTGCTCATTTTACTTTGCATCAGCTCATGTAAGTTTTTCCAGGTTTTTCTCAAAATATCTTATAGCACATTAGTATTCCATCACAATTACATACAACAATCTTCAGCCATTCCCCAACTGATGGACATCACCTCAATTTCCAATTATTTACCATCACAAAAAGAGCCATTATAAATGTTTTTGTACATACAAGTCCTTTTTCTCCTCCTCCTCCTCTTCCTCCTCCTCTTCCTCCTCTTCTTCTTCTTCTTCTTCTTCTTCTTCTTCTTCTTCTTCTTCTTCTTCTTCTTCTTCTTCTTCTTCTTCTTCTTCTTCTTCTTCTTCTTCTTCTTCTTCTTCTTCTTCTTCTTCTTCTTCTTCTTCCTCTTCCTCTTCCTCTTCCTCTTCCTCTTCCTCTTCTTCTTCTTCTTCTTCTTCTGATTTCTTTGGGATATAGACCTACTAGTAGTATTGCTTTTATGGAGTATGAATGGTTTTATAGCCCTTTGGGCATAGTTCCAAATTGTGCTACAGAATGGTTGAATCAGTATACAACTTCACCAATGTGCATTAGTGTCCTAATTTTCCCACATTCCCTTCAACATTTGTCATTCTCCTTTTCTGTCATATTAGCCAATCTAATTTGCAATTCTCTAATCAATAATGATTTAGAGCATTTTTTTTCATATGACTATAGATAACTTTAATTTGTTTGAAAACTGCCTGTTCATATCCTTTGACCATTTATCAATTGAGGAGTGGCTCTGACTTCTATAAATTTTACTCAGTTTGTTATATATTTGAGAAATGAGGTCTTTATCGGAAAACTGCCTGTAAATTTTTTTTCACAGTAATAATTACTATGTATTCCAATCCATCCTATTTCCTCATCCATCCTTCTCTCTCTCTCTCTCTTGCTCTCATTTCTCTCTGTCTCTCCTTTCACCCTGTCTATTCTGAAAAGAGTTTTACTTCTGACTTTTATCTTCCCTAATCCACCCTCCCTTCAATAGCTCCCCACCCCCTTCCTTCTCTTAAACCCTTCTCCTACTATTTTCCTGCATGGTAAGATAGATTTCTACACCCAACTGAGTGTGTATGTTATTCCCTCTTTGAGCCAATTTCAATGAAAGAAAAGTTCTTGTGTTCCTCACCACTTCCCCCACCCCACCTTCCCCTCCACTATAAAATCTCTTTTGCCAGATAATTTACCCCCATTCTACCTCTCCCTTTCCCCTTCTCCCAGTGTATTCTTTTTCCTCCCCCTTATCTTTTTTTAGATAATCATCCCATCATATTCAAATCACACCTGTGCCTCCTTCTCATTGCCCTAATAATAAGAATGTCTTTAGGAGTTATAAATATCATTTTCCCATGTAGGAATGTAAACAGTTTAACCTTATTGAATCCATTATGATTTCTCTTTCCTGTTTACCTTTTTTATGCTTTTCTTGAGAGTCTTGTATTTGAAAGTCAAATTTTCTATTCTGCCCTGGTCTTTTCACCAGAAATACTTAGAAGTCTTTTATTTCAATTGACTATCAATTTCCCCCCTAAAGGATTATACTCAGTTTTGCTGGGTGGGTGATTCTTTGTTTTAATCCTAGATCCTTTACCATCTAGAATGTTATATTCCAAGTTCTCTTGTCTTTCTCATTCTATTGTTTTCTTCTATTTTTTTTTTTTGCATTGCTCCTTTAAGAAAACCTTTTTCTCTCTCCTTGCTATTCTCTGGAATTCTGCATTCAGTTGGGTGTATCTTTCCCTTCCTTCTTTCCCTTTCATTTTCCTTCTTTCCTCAGCTATTTGTAAAGTAGCTTAGCATGGGTTTAATTTTCACTTCTATGAGGATGACTACAAAAATCTATGTATCCAGCTCTAGTCTTTCTCCTTAGGTCCAGGCACAAATCAATTGCCTCCTAGATATTTTAAACTAAATGTTCCATAGACAGTTCAAACTCAACATGTCAAAAACTGATTTCATTATCTTTTCTCCAAAACCTATTCCTCTTCTGAAACTCCATATTTCTACCAACGGCACCACTATCCATCTAGGGTTGTAACTTTAGTTTCATGCTCAATTCCTCTCTTACCTCATAATATATCCAAATAGTTTATCTCCACAACATCTCTTGCATCCATTTCCTTTTCTTCACTCACAAAGCAACCACCTGAGTTCAGGCCCTTATCACCTCCCTCTTCAACTACTGAAGAGGCCTCCTAATGGTCTCCCTGCTTGAAGTCTCTCCCTCTTTCCAATCTATTTTCAAATAGGTTCCAAACTGATTTTCCTAAAGTATAAATCTGACTGTATCACTTTCCTACTCAATAAATTAGAGTGTTCCCTATTAACTCTAGGATAAAATACAGACTTCTCTCTTTGGTATTTAAATCTCTAAAGCCCCAACCTGTCTTTCCAGCCTTATTAGGCACACTCCACATGACATAAACTAGAGCCCAGACAGTGGTTAGCTAGTGAGCAACAAGATAGCAGACTAGACATTCTCTCTGACCTCCATGAGTCCTCAGACCTCCCCAAAACAGAAATTATGCTCCAAAGATAAAGCAATTTTAGCTGTTTCCATGGTCAAGGACACCAAGAATTCAAAAGAAAGTTAAAAAATCCCTAAAACTCAGAAATTGACACTCATTGAACCTAAGTTCGCCTGATACTTCCTCCTCCCCCACCTCCTACACCACCAGCAGTGAGGCTGCACTAACAGACCCAATGATACAACATAGGTTTACATCAAAACCCATCCCTAAACCTCTGTCCCCCCTACCTCTTTCCAGTGCCCTAGACACCTTGGATCCAGGCTATGGAAGTGTTCTTGGACTTTGACAGCCAACATGGCCATAGTCCTTCAGGAGCAAAAGTCTTCTGGAGGCTGCAACCTGGAAGCACCAAGGCTGCAAAGCTCTGAACTGCTGGTAGATCTGGACTGCTCATGCTAGGGAAAGTAGGCTCTGAACTACCAGTACCAGCAAGCTCTGAATTTCTGGTGCAAGGCCAAAGAACTAAGGAAGAGAGGGAGTGGGCCAGATCATTAGGACAGGACACTGCTAGTGGGGAACTGTGCAGCACTCCACCAAGTCTGAAGTAATAACAGTATCCAGGTGGGGCCAGTTCTGGCCACTCAAAGGTCAGTTGGAGCATATCTGCATTCAGACTCCATCAATTCCTTCTCTGGAGATGGATAATATTTTTCATCATAAGTCCTTCCAAATTGTCTTGGCTGTATTGTAATGCAGGGAGGATGAATTGTGAATCACCTAATGTGGGGGAAGGCTGAGATGCTTTAAGATCCATACCCCAAGGAAACCTCAATAGAAAGGGAGGGAATCAGAAGTGGATAA